GTTTTCAGACCGAAACAGGAAAAATGCAAGATTCTGATTGGTTAATCCTGTTTCTCACCACCTGGTAGCCAATAGATCCGTTCAGCTGACGTTTCAGGTTAAACATAATTGCAACAATGGGTTTGTGGACCTTTTATGAACATCATTATAGTGCAAATAGTGCGCAAAAAGGTTATTTGCCATGTATTTTATCATTCGTGCTGTATGTGTGTTACATTCACCATCCACAACCCGGAAAGTATCTCAGGGGCTTAAACCTGAACAAAAAAATGACATTTTTGTCAAAGAAAATATCTTGAAGATAGTCAAAAGTATGAAATATTTTCTATTATGAGATTACAGTAAACCAAATATATGATTATTAAACCTATTTCTAGACATTTTGTGAAACTAATTTCAAGCTATTGGCAGATAATTTAGCTTCTTTCTTAAAATTTGCAAAGTTATCTGCAGATAGAACAAGACGATTTCAATCAAGATATTTTCACTTAATAAGATGACTTTTTTTTGCAGTGTGCTTGCAAGACAATCACGACAACAGGTTTAGGAATTTGATTATAGCTTTGCTATTCACAACAATTAGCATCTCATCAGCGCCTTTACATAAGAAATTGTTACTTTGGACAAGAATTAACTTGGTAAAGGATCATCCTTTCAGCCGAGCAGAAACCTTTAATCAGTGGCGTTCTGGAAAATGATTTTAATTAAGAAATCACACAAAACACACGCAAGCAAAACACACAAATGAAACCATCGCGGACTGCAGCCATAACAAGATTCAGGAGTTTTAAAAAACCCTCTCTGGCATGTGACCTTTTAGAAAGGAAAACAGGCGAGTTTCTCAAAAAGATCATGGTGATATGAGTGAGTAACCTTTCAGCTGCCCTCGCTAAAGGATGCGATGCAGAGGAATTTATCCAGGCAGCATTGCTAATAGCTGCAGCTGCTGTTGGACTGAAATATAACGCAGATGGACTTCAGATCAGGTTTATTCAAAGCAGTATTTGAATGGGACTGAATAAAAAAAAAACTATATGTACAGTGAGGTCCAAAAACCTTAGACCACTCTGGGATTTTTTTTCAAGTTTTAGACAAAAAAAAATTAAAAAATCATACAACAAAGAAACGAAATGTTCAAAGAATATTGAATTTTTTGCACTATTTCTAGGTCACTATTTAAATTTAAGCAAGTTCCTAATATTCACCTTGTGTTCACTCCTCTGTAGACAACTCCTCTGTTCACTCCTCTGTTCACTCCTCTGTTCACTCCCCTGTAGACAACTCCTCTGTTCACTCCTCTGTTCACTCCTCTGTTCACTCCCCTGTTCACTCCTCTGTTCACTCCTCTGTTCACTCCCCTGTAGACAACTCCTCTGTTCACTCCTCTGTTCACTCCTCTGTTCACTCCCCTGTTCACTCCTCTGTAGACAACTCCTCTGTTCACTCCTCTGTTCACTCCCCTGTTCACTCCTCTGTTCACTCCTCTGTTCACTCCCCTGTTCACTCCTCTGTAAACAACTCCTCTGTTCACTCCTCTGTTCACTCCCCCGTTCACTCCTGTACAATATGATGATGTAATATCAGTATGTGATCTTACAATACACTTTCCTGAAATATTGCAGGTATCATGATATATTTTTCTAGTATTAATTACAAACTCTTTAGAATTTTGTACAGAACCCTTATAATTGTAAAACACTCTGTAGACAACTCCTCTGTTCACTCCTCCGTTCACTCCTCTGTAAACAACTCCTCTGTTCACTCCTCTGTTCACTCCTCTGTAAACAACTCCTCTGTTCACTCCTCTGTTCACTCCTCTGTAAACAACTTCTCTGTTCACTCCTCTGTTCACTCCTCTGTTCACTCCTCTGTAAACAACTCCTCTGTTCACTCCTCTGTTCACTCCTCTGTAAACAACTCCTCTGTAGACAACTTCAGATTTTTCTTGAGATTTTTCTTCTCCCTTCCGTTGAAGCACGTGTTCAGGTGACACTGATGAATTTGGTCGTCACATTTTACACAAACTTGCAGCGTCCGTGCCAGCTCGAGTATTACTGAAGCACATAGGTGCGTATCAAAAACTAAGAAATTTGGAAATATTTGTAAGTAATATTTGTATGTAAATATTTCTAAGAGTCTACTTTTCACTCATGTTGCTGATAATATGTATATGTAATGAGACATTTTTGGATTAAATCTGAAAAGAATGCAAAATAGAAACATTTTCATTAGTAGTCACAGATTTTTGGACCGCACTGTATCTGTTTGCTTTTATCTAAAAAAGTTCATAAGAATAATTGAGGAGATGAAACACCAGTTATTGAGTTAGTTATCACCTCCCTGACTTTAGAGCTGGGCAATATGATGATGTAATATCAGTATGTGATCTTACAATACACTTTCCTGAAATATTGCAGGTATCATGATATATTTTTCTTGTATTAATTACAAACTCTTAAGAACTTTGTACAGAACCCTTATAATTGTAAAATACTATTTTTTTTGTTTTGGGTTTAGAGTAATTTTTTAAGTAATTTATTTTTGTAGGTGTTGTAGACATACCAGGTTTTCTTTATGATATGATATTTTTGTCATATCGCCCACCTCGATACTTTACCATTTAACTTTCACCATTAAACAATTCAGTCAAAATGATAGCTAAAGTAACCACGTAACACACTGTGAGGCTGAGTGCGATGGAATCACTGTGAAATGACGTTTGGGGGTGTGATGTTATAGTTTTTTTGCAATTTTTGTCATTAATTAAACAATGACATTTTAGCCGCTGTTGTGGAACATCTGTACAAGAAGTTGGTTCCTGTTCTCACTTACGTTATAGCAGCTATAAACATTCAGTCCTTCACCAGGATTATACTACTACTATACTGTACTATACTACTGCTGCTGCTACTACTGCTGCTACTACTGCACTATACTGCTACTACTGCTACTACTGCTACTACTACTACACTATACTACTGCTACTGCTACTGCTGCTACTACTGCACTATACTGCTACTACTGCTACTACTGCTGCTACTGCTACTACTACTACTGCTACTATACTGTACTATACTTCTGCTACTGCTACTACTGCTGCTACTACTGCTACTGCTACTACTGCTGCTGCTGCTGCTACTACTACTACTACTACTACTACTACTGCTGCTGCTACTACTACTACTACTAATACTACTACTACTACTACTACTACTACTGCTGCTGCTACTACTACTACTACTGCTACTGCTGCTACTGCTACTACTGCTACTGCTACTACTACTGCTACTGACTACTACTACTGCTGCTATTACTGCTGCTATTACTACTACTACTGCTACTGACTACTACTGTTACTGCTGCTATTACTGCTACTACTACTACTGCTACTGCTGCTACTATTACTACTGCTACTGCTACTACTACTACTACTACTACTTATAATAATAATAATAATAATAATAATAATAATAATAATAATAACTATTACTATGTAATGTCTCTGTTGAAGTTTGGATTAGTGGGTTAGATTGGAGCTTCCAGCAGCACCATAGCAACCGTTACTGGGGGAAAACGACAGCATCATCCATCTGTTTCTTTCTCTCTCTCTCTCTCTCTCTCTCTCTCTCTCTGTCTCTCTTTCCATTTTTCTTTCTCTCACTACTACTACTACTACTACTACTACTACTACTACTACTAATAATAATAATAATAATAATCTCTTCCTGTTACTCTTTCACTCTTTCACTATAATTATCTCTCCTTACTACTATCTTCCTTTTTCTCTCTTCTTCTGTTTCTCTCTCTTTGTCTCCTCCTCTCCTTTTTTTCCTTTTTCCCCTGTCTCTCTCTCTCTGTGATTGATTACTACTGTTCCCACACTGTATCACTCTCCATGGCAACAATACTTTCTTACAAATATGTGTGTGGCAAATGATGAAAAATTCATGCATGGCTTACACACACACACACACACACACACACACACTCATGCCTACTCATTTCTGCATCAGCAACAGGCATTGATTTTGAATGATGTATGAGTAGTAGCTTCATTTCCAATAGCGGATGCACGCGCACGCGCACGCTCACACACACACACACACACACTCACCTGATTCTTGTTTCATTTGTCAGTTTCTCGGTTACATTGTCATCATGATACATTTATACTTGAGTAATGACGGGATAAATGAGTGTGTAAATGAGTGTGATAAGAGTCTGGCTCTATATGACACGTTTCACTGATAAATAAAACACAGAAGCAGCGCTGTGAGGATTCAGTTGTTAGTTTATTACATCAGTGTAGAAACAGCACTTTCTCTCGTTTACACCGCTTCAGAAAAGTCTTGTAGCAGGGATGGATGATGTTAGAGTAGCTGTATGGCAGTCTGGGAAAAGCCTTTGCACGGACAAATCTGGACATTGTGTACTTTATAATGTACTTTAATTGTTAGTGTGAAAATATTTTAGTCTAGATGAAGTCAGTTGTACACCGGCTGCACAAGACTACAGTGGGAAAATCCAGACCTGTTTTTGGGACGAAGCCAGAATTGAACATGGCGATAGACGCTTCCACATGCCTCTGTCCTCCCTCCGTAATTAAGCTAGGATTATATCATCATTAACCTGTGAGGGGTCACACCGCACTCTCAGTTAATCAGCAATTTCAGCCTCCAGCTCGTCCACACGAGTGCATTTTAAAAACTCTCTTAAATAGTGTCATATGAAACACACATCTATTATTATACATCCCCTATGGGAGATGAATAAAGGTACATCTTATCTTAGTTCGCAAATGTATTTACTTTCATTGTTAACAGTGTAACCTGAAGAAGCACTGAAGCTTTGTAGCCTGTCAACAGCTGAAGTGTGGTTTGGTGCGAAGTTCACTGCAAAAAACAACAACAACAACAACAACAACAACAACAACAGTGTCCTGAAACTAGTTGACTACCTTTTTGAATTACTGGTCGATTAGTAAAGGTTAGTAGTCAGGGTCCCTGGAGGACTAGTGGTTAGGTCTTAGTGCTCTCACTGCTACAGCCCGGGTTTGATTCCTGGCCAGGGAACCAAACCCAGCCCCCGGGCTTGCACAACACACTGCAGTTCCAGTGCCAGTCCCAGGCCCAGGTAAAACTGGGGAGGGTTGCATCAGGAAGGGCATCCGGCATAAAAACTGTGCCGAATCAAATATGTGGACCAATGATCCGCCGTGGCAACCCGTAACAGGAGCAGCTGGAAGAGGACCAACAGTAAAGATTAGTAGTTGCTATTAATGAGTAAACCTTTTCTGCTATATTTAATTGCCGAAAAACTAAAAGCCTTTCCTGAACTGAATGATGTTTCTCTTTTGAATATTATCTCAACTCCATGCAAAGTTCTAACATTTTAATGTGAAGATTTTATTCAATCCAGTCCACTGAAAGAAAAGCCTTAATGAGCGCTTAGCTTACATTTAAAAGCTAATCTTCATATAGAATAACATACGGAATACTGACAAACTTGAAAGAATATACAACACGGAAATGTTGTTTTTCTGAGACCGATAAGACCTTAACCAGGAGAAAGTGCTTACTGAAGATGAATGGATTCACATATCCACTGGTGTGTGTGTGTATATATATATATATATATATATATATATATATATAGATATAGATGCTTTTCTGCTCAGCGCGGTTGTAAAGAGTGGTTATTTGAGTTCCTGTATCCTTCCTCTCAGCTCAAACCTCTGACCTCTCTTATCAACAAGACGTTTTCGCCCACAGGACCACCACTCACTGGATGTTTTTTGTCATCAAAAAGTCAAGAAATCACATTTGCTCCATATTCTAATGCTGCCGCATGATTGGCTGATAGGAGAATTGCATGAATGAGCAGGTGTACAGGTGCTGGTTGGAAAGTGTCCATAGAAATAAATACACAATTGATTTTATAGTTGGTGTAATGGGTGCATTTGCTCCCCCTGTTGTTGGAGTGACAATGTTAAAGTTTAAAGTCAGATGAATGTGTTAAACATTAACATGTTCTCAAGCTTTTTTTTTTCCAGGACCTGTGATTTAATCATTGTAAAATTTCCAAATTTGCATATCTGTGTGCTGTTTATGTGACATGACTAATTGCCACAACTCACGCAACATGAAGGCAACATTTCAGCATTTTATGTCTGTTGTGATGAGGTTAACAAAGACATTGATATTTATTTATTTATTTATTCATGGATTTTTTTTTTCAGGGAAGTGATTTATTTATTCTTCAGTAGTACTCAGAATTTACCTTCAGATCTGCTAGGCATCTCCATCCGGAAGACTGGATCATTAAAATCGCTCTGAATCGGCTCGTCTTGGTTTATTTTTTTTTAGATTTGATGCTTTCCAGCCAGTGATGGATTGAAAACTAATGCGATCCGTTCCACATCGACCGTTCTGAAAGCTCATGCTTTGAAAACTGAAACTGACGAGGAGAGATGATGGGAGTCTGGATGTTATAAAAAAAAAAAAAAAGCTAGTGGTCATTGATCTGGAGAGTTTATGAATTTACAGCACTTCATAAAGATGTCACACTGATGGGTACATTGTTTTCAGAATAATAAAGCTGGTTGATATTTCTGATGGTCTTCATGCTCCTTAGATAGTGAATATGGTGCGTGGTTTGGGACTCGATGTTTCTGATGGTGTTTATGTGCTCTAGATAGTGAATATGGTGCGTGGTTTGGGACTCGATGTTTCTGACAGTGTTTATGTGCTCTAGATAGTGAATATGGTGCGTGGTTTGGGACTCGATGTTTCTGACAGTGTTTATGTGCTCTAGATAGTGAATAGGGTGCGTGGTTTGGGACTCGATGTTTCTGATGGTGTTTATGTGCTCTAGATAGTGAATAGGGTGCGTGGTTTGGGACTCGATGTTTCTGACGGTGTTTATGTGCTCTAGATAGTGAATAGGGTGCGTGGTTTGGGACTCGATGTTTCTGATGGTGTTTATGTGCTCTAGATAGTGAATAGGGTGTGTGGTTTGGGACTCGATGTTTCTGACGGTGTTTATGTGATGAACTGATGGCCGTGTACTGAACCAAATCCATTCCTAACACTCACTCTGTTCCTACATTAGTGTGCTACATAGAGCTAGTGATTCTTCGCTGTAGGGAATAGTGGGACATTTTGAATGTAGCATTCAAGTGCATGTTCCCTAAAGACTTAAGTTCAGAAGGAGAAACACACGAGGAGTCAGTGGATGTAGAAATCAGGATCAGGATTTAAATTCGTATAAATTCATAGATTTGGGACATGATCACCATTTTCACAAGACCATTAAAAGTTATTTGTCTAATCCTTCATAGTCTATCCATCTATTAGACAATTTATCCTTTAATCCATCCATCCATCTATCCATCCATTCATCCCTCAATCCAGTCATCAAGTCCATTCTTCAACTAATCCACTCATTACCTTCTTTTTATCCATCAATCCATCCAAAAAGTTACTTTATCCATCATCCTTCCATCTTTCCATCCATCCATCTTCAGCATATACTGTATATACAGTAACAATCCACAGCATATGTAGAGTCCATCTCCAATTATCTATCTATCTATCTATCTATCTATCTATCTATCTACACTGCATTTCTTCTGCCTGTCTCTTGCTCGGCTACTGTCCAAATCACCGCTGTAGTCTTCATGGAGGCAGCATATGAATATCAATCAGCAGTAGCTTTTTCCCCTTGTGCAACCTTCCACTGTGTTTCTTTCTCTCTCTCTCTCTCTCTCTCTCTCTCTCACACACACACACACACACACACACACACACACACACACACACACACACACTCTTTAAGGACAAGAAGTGTATGCGTGTATGTGTGTATGTGTGTGTGTGTGTGTTACATAAGTGAAGGACGTTCTTCCTCAGCAGGACTCTCGTCCTCTGTTCCATTCTCCACTCTTCCACTGTGGACTTTTCTGCATATAGATGGACAGATTACTGGCTATGATACTGATCGCGCACACACACACACACACACACACACACACACACACACACACACACACACACACACTTCATGCTTTCTTTAGCTGCAGAGGTTCATGCTCAACTGTAGTGAATTTCTGATGTCTGAGTGTTTTGTATGTTTTTGTCTTTTATTACTGAGAAACAGCAAGATGACATCATCAAACTGTTACAGCTGTAGTCATGGGCTGTGTCCCAAACCACCCTAAAGCGGTGATCAATAGTGTGTACAAGTAGCACACCACCTGTATTTAGCTAACTAGCTGAACCTTTAGCAGCTATGACAAAGCTTCACCAGTTGCTATGACAACTGGTCACATCCTATTCCGCCATATTACCCTACTGTATAGAAGAAACTTTACAACAATAATTGCAAGATGGTTTTAAAAAATTCTTTTGGTGTCGTTTAAGGAGACAGACACTGACAGAGATGACCGTCCATGAGTGACTGACTCTGCGCTGCAGGGCATGCTGGGATATCTGATGTGTGTGTGTCTAACGTTAGTAGGCTGAGCACCATGTGGTTGTGGGTAACTTTGTGTCTCCATGACGCTGACCTCAGCTCTGTATTTCTGTCCATGTGCGTCACTGCCGAACCCTACGTCCTTTACGACCCACCACAAATAACAGGCTTCGGTGACGGAAATAAATAAATAAATCTACTAAATAAATAAATAAATAAATAGAACCGTCCAGCATCACATAACAGCAGGGGGGCTAAATTTATCATGAGAGGAAGGGCTGAGTCACTGAATCACTAATCCCGATCCCCGAGAAAATTAATAATAAAAACATGCTAATGATAATGATTTACTAGCTAATAAACAGGTAGGGCTGGAGGACCTGAGATGTTTTCTGTATTGATTTGGACTTGTCTCAGACTCAATTGGACATTGGTCTCGATTTTGTAAAAATAATATTCGTGTTGTCTTTTCATTTCTCATGCACAAACTTTGACAAGAAGTAATTCCTAAATCAGAGATTTGGTTTGGGTGATAATGTTCAAACCTCTGACAATGTTTGTCTCTCTTGTAAATTTGGCACAGCTTTTTGGGATGATGTACACTTTGCTTTTATCTATTTGGACAATTAGCAAACGTGGAACTATGTCGGTCCTGTAGGTGCAGAACTTGAGCATGTCTCAAAGTCTAGCCTCTTTACTTCTGACACTAAAGCTCGTCGCAGCCTGTGTAAGCAGGCTTTAGGTCAGGAATGTTAAAAATACAGCGTGGACAGGACCATCCCGATGAAGGCTGTGATCTGGCCCATCGAATCAATTTAGAAAGTGTTCCTGTGGACCGTAATTGAACTGAAATGTTCAAGAAAAAAAGAGCTGGTCCACTTGTTAGTCCACTAGGGGGCGAAACAGAGCAATAAACTCCTACTCATTAGCTACAGACAAAATATCCTATTGATATGGAATTGTTGGTGCCTAATCTATTGTACTGATCAAGTTTTAAATACATACAGTATATTTATTTATTAATTTTTTTGGTTTGTGGTTGTTATTTTAAAAGACAAAGGTTCTACAACAGCAGTGTGTTTGTGTGGGACTTGGTGGTGCTGTGGTAAAAGCCTTGCTCCTGTGGTTGGAAGTTGCTGGTTCAAGCCTGGCTTGCCCTCACTGGGGGTGAGTTGGGTGGAAAGAGGTGGGGGGGAAGAGAAGGTGATGGGAGGAAGTGGTGTTTCACAAACCTACCAAAAAAATCTGGGTGATTGCTGTAAAAACTATCCCTTTGTATGCAAAACTAAGTCATCACTCTTTCTTTCTTGTCCATAACCCCTTCTCTTCCTTTTCTCAGACTCTGGGGGGCAGCTGCCCGGATATTGCCCCCCATTTCAGGTCATACTCTCCAAGACACTCCCTTGTACCATCCTGCACCTTCTATTGTTTCCTGTACCGTCAGCATTCATATCCTGGAGACCTGGCTGGGGTTCGAACCAGCAACCTCTCAACCCAGAGGTGAAGCTCATCCAACTGAGCCACAGGATCTCATGTTAGCAAACTCTTTTAGAGAACTTTTCTATTCTTAACAGCAAACAAAAGGTAAAGCACAGCATCA